AGGGGAATAACAGGCTGGTTCACTCTTCACAAAGATCCTTTCGGCTGCTATATGTCAGGGGACTGAAATGGGGGCGACAGGGCTAGGGAAAAAAGGCAAGGATAAGGCTATAGTTGGGAGGCAGAATATTTGGAATTTAGATCATTTAGATCATTTCCTCTTCCCAGCAGCCTTGGGAAACTGAGGTTCAGAGCGAGCTGCTGAGGAGCTCACCACCGACAGTGAGTGAGATTCACACCCAGCTCCCTAAAGTGCAGCTCTCACCTCTCCTTAGGTCCCCAGTATGAGAAAAACCCCAGCTTCACATGGACCCCAAACCGCCAAATGCTTGTCCTCAAGTTAGTTATCCAAGTTAGTTATCCTCAAGTTAAGATAAGGAAATTGCTTCCACACAAGTTCCTCTTCCCCAGTGATGATTTATAACCATGGCGACCTGGGGTGTAACCCAAGCATGGCTGCAGGAAATGGCTAATCGTGATATGGCCAAGCTGTGGGCGGCCACTGAGCCTGGCCCTGAGCAGCAAAGCTGCCCCATAAGGCACACCTGCATGTGCCGCCTGTGGAAATGGGAGGTAGTTAAGACAAAACTCTTCCAGGTGGATAGCATCCTGCCTGCTTTACAGGCAGCAAAACTAAAACCAGGAGCCCTGTGAGGTGGTCCCCACACTGCTTCAGGCCATTTTGCTGTTCTGCAAGATGGGACCTGGTGGATGACTGTCAGGAGTGACTGGGATGGTCTGAATGACAGTAAGAAGCCGCCAGCTCAGTTAAGTGGCAGACAGCAGGTGCCCTGCAAATACAAGACTCTTCCTTCTGTGATTTGAAAGGTCATCTTCACCTTACACTAGCTATGTACCAGTCACCAAGGAAACTGCTCCATCCCTTTCCTGCGACATCATGACCCAAGCCCTAAGACTGAGTGGAGAGGTCAGTGTCTGCGGAACAGGTGTCCGGTAGCTGAAGCTAAGCACCCGCAGTGTGACCCTACTCGGTGTCCCTGAGGAAGTGGCTGCTGGTTTGCCAAGAGCCCGGAGATGTCGGTTGAGGACAGTCTATGCGCTGAGCCGCAGGGCTACACTCAGCCAGGCTGGGAAATGCGATGGAGCCGGCTACTCAGGAGGAAGGAGCCCGCACCCCTGGACCTCAGCGCCATCCAGAGCCCTCAGTGGGAGGGCAGGCGTGTGATGCTGCTGGCGGTGTGGGCAGGATGGAGTCAGGGGTAAGCGCTACTCTGGAGCTCTGGGTGGAGGTGTTGGTGGCTCCTGTGCAGGAGATGGCAGTGGGGATGGAATAGTGCTGGTGACAAGCAAAGTGTGGGTCCTGTGATGGCTAGGGTGGAGGTGCCCATGGCCCTGGCTGAGGTGATGGTTGTGGGATGGAGATGGTGGTGGAGGGTGGACGAGTGGCAATTGTGATGGTGGTGGCCTTCTGCCATCCCTGTGTGAGGAAACTGGAGGCCCTGTCAGGCTGGTGCACGTGTGTAGACCTGGCCCAACTGCACCCTATAACCTGAAAGCTAACCCCTTATTCCATTTCTCCTCCCTTTTCCCCTCCTGATGTGACTCAGAAGCCACAGACATCATGAGAGGTGCAGCCTGAGTGTACTCATCATCATGACAAAGTTCGCCTCAGTCTATCTCTCCAGAGAGGAGATTCTGCCCTCAGGATCCTCCTCCCAGTGCTGGAGGGGAAAGGAAACGGCAAGGCAGGGCCGGGCCGGGCCGGGCCGGGCTGTGATTGCCACTCTGCATCCCTTATCACTGGTCTTTGCCCACAGGAGGGAGGGATGTGGCCCCATCGATCCTGGGACCAGAATCCAAACCACGTCATCTGTGCTCTCTCCCGTCTAGGTTTTTCCTTCCTGATTGGTTAGATTTCCTCAAGGAAATAGATTTCCTCACGGAGTGCCCAGGAGGGTGAAACTGAGAGACAACAGCCTGAGCAGGAGCCCACGACCTCAGCAGTCCCCCTGCTGTGCTCTGCTCTTTACTAATGGAAATTTCTCCCCTCAGCTCCTGTTCTCAGGAGGCCTCAGGGAGTGTGCTGTCCCTGCTCCACAGTGACGGTGGCCCTCTGCAGAAGCACCCACAGCATGTCCCCTGCATCCGGCTTCCTTGTGCCCTTCCTCGTCAGCCCCCTTTACCCATGGGGACCCTGAGTCTCAGAGGCAGTGGGGACAGCTGGGACGTCCTCTACAGACTCTGCGCTCAGTGCTCTTTGCCACACCCTCGCCTCTCCTCTCTCCTGCACTGCAAGGGTCGGCCTGGGTTCATGCAATGTCGTTTTCTTTTGTCACCAACATATTCACTGACTATTACAAATGCACACATTTGACTTTACAGTAAGACTGGGAACCAGGGATATAGCTCAATGATATGAGCACCTGGCAAGTTCAAGGTCATGAGTTTGATTCTCAATACCAAAAAAAAAGTAAAATACTTGTTTGATCATGATGGGGCTAACGCTCTTAAGTTTACAGAATCATCACCCCGATTTTGTCCTTAAGGAAATGTACCATAGAAGCCAGGAAGGTACAAGGTGAGCTGCCCACCAACAAGCCTCCTGCCCCAAGCTCAAAGCCCTCCCATGGCTCCTACTGTCTGTAGGACGTACCTCCTGACCCCAGCCTGAAGGGCCACATGGTTGAAGAGCCTTGTCTCACCTCCCACAAAAGCTGTTCTCTTCTGCCGCTGTGACACGGGGTCTCATTAAATGCTCCTGTTCCGTCTGGGCCCAACATTTTCCTTCCACTCTGCATTTGCATAGCTGTCTCTGTCCGAAGGCCTTCCCTGGCCTTCTGCTCACACATGCACCCTCCCCACTCTTAAGGCCAGGTCAGGAGTGAAGCTGCTCAGGCAGTTGGTGGCCTCTCTTCTGGGCCCTGTGTTCCTAGGAGACACCCCCCAGACCCCCCACCCTACCTCACAAGGTGCCAGAGCAAGGCACAAATGAAAAAGTGATGGAGCTGCCCCAGGACTGGAGTGGGCTGGGCTTCCACTGCCCGCACACCCTTTCCCTGGGCTTCCCTCTCTCCTGGTGGGGCGGCTGCAGGCCCCAGATGGCCCGAAGTGAGATACAATTCTCCCTGTCGCTCACATCTGCACCCCAGGGCTCTGTTCTCTCTGTGCACTCCTCTGAGACCTGAAGGCTGTTTACATTCTAGAAATTACGGCTTCCTTGCTCCAGCTCCCTCCCACTCCTTTTCTTTCCGGGTTCTTAAAACAAATGTTTGGGGCTGGATAGCAGGAATAACTTCAAACCTTCCGCAACTCTATAGCACAGTAGGATAAGTATCGCAGACCACGGTTCATTGTCTATTTCAAAATACTGGTAGAGAGGACTTTGAATGTGTCAACATAAAGAAATGCTAAATGTCTGACAATACACATGGCAGTTATCCCAGTCTGATCATTACACGTCATATACACGTACGGAATGCCTCAGTCTGTCCCAAAAATATGTAAAACTACTATGTGTCAATTAAAATTAAATACATAAAATACATAGTATTAAATATATAATTAATATTAATTACAATATTTATTGAATATATTATATTATATTATATACATAAAATGTTTGAGCACCAGGTGTAATCCCAGCACTCCAGAGACTAAGGTAGGAAAATCCCTGAGTTTAAGGCCAGCAGGGATTACATAGTGAGTTCAAAGCCAACCTGAGCTACATAGGGAGACCAGCCTCCAAAAAGAAATTAATTAATTAAAAAGTACTTGAGGAAGGAGCTGGGAGTGATGGTACATACCTGTAATCCTAGCATTCTAGAAGGCTGAGGCAGAAATATCACAAGTTTGAACCCAGCCTGGACAACTTAGTTACTCAGTGAAACTCTGACTCAGAATAAAAATGAAAAGCACTGGGAATTAGCTCAGTGAAAGGACCCTGTGTTCAAGCTGGGTGTGATGGTGCATGCGTTTAATTCCAGTACTTGGGAGGCTGAGGCAGGAGACTTGCTATAAATTCAAGCCCAGCAATCCTCCTACCTATTCAGTGAGTACAAGGACATCAGCCCAGCCAGGGTGACCCTGGGTGAAGATATGGACATAACAGACTCCAGGATCCCTGCCGTAAGTGCTGAAAATGCCCATCCCCAGGCTGCTTTTTCCCAGAGATGAGGAGGGAGAAAGATGGCTCTGAGTTCAGTTTCAGCATTTTACCTACTCATTATGTACCCCCAGGCAAGCCCATCTGCTTTCTGGGCCCCAGTTTCTCCTGCTGAGAAAATGAGGGGAGGAAAAAGCCACGGTGGTCTATTTTGATCAGTAGAATCTTAGTGCTCACTGAGCATTGAGCCTGGTGTCAGCCAACCAAAGAAGGCCCTGCCTCAGGGAGAGAGCCCTCAGCTGAGTCTCCCTGCACAGGGAGGGCCAGAGGAAGAGGACAGAATGACCAGGGTGGGGGCCCAGTCAGCAGTCAGTCCCTGCTTGATGCTTCCTTGTCCTGGCAGAGATGGCACTGGCTTGCGTCACTGAGCCTGGAGGGTGCCAGCACCCGGCTCAGCCTGCCTTGGGGTTCTCCAGCTTCTTGCCATACTTTGAAGAAAAGAGGACCATGAGAAGCAGCCCAGGCAAAGTCAAGGCAAAGCTCAGAGCTGAACCCAGCAGTCAGGCAGACGCTGGCCTTTTCTTCTCAAGCTGTGAGGCCCCCCTGGGCTCAGCCACCCAGCCTCATCCTCCCGGGTGAGGCGCCCAGACAGAGTAAATCAGTTTCCCAGAGACTCTGCCAATCCTCCATCCTGTAACAACTCCTCAGTTAGTCCAAATTACACAAGAACTTGGAAGGGAGGGGACAAGGTCATCAGAACCCCGGGAAGTAGGTATTCCCCACTTTCCAAAGGAAACTGAGGTCTCACAGCTGGACAGGACTGAACCCCAGGTCCATCCAACCCAGCACCACAGCTGGCTCTCTGCGCTGGGCATTTCCCACTAGCCAAGGGGATCATTAAATACCCCCGAAGCTTACTGCAGCCCCAAGAACCTCACCTTACCCCCGGCCAGGAGCTCCAGGATCTGGTGCCACAGCTGAGCACAGTAGTAGTCTCTACCTGTGTGCCCCAGAGGGGCTGTGGTGGCGATGGGCCCTGGCAGGCACAGGTGGGCACTGTTGAGTCTGAGGCCGGCAGCAGCTGAAGGCAGACTTTGGCACCATCTCCGCCTCCCCTGATCAATCATTAATCCTCCCAGAGCCACACCTCCCACCAAGGGGCTGAATCCCTAGGAGCTGTGTCTGGGTGTGGTGGCAGGGCAGGTGAGGGGAGCCCAGGACAGGATTCACAGCGATCCTGGGACTCGAGGCCAGGCTACAGAAGGGACCCACAGAGTCCCTTGCCCCTTCCTAAAGGTCCTGGGAATAAAGGCCAGTCCTACAGAAGGCCAGAGATGGAAAAGGTGTGTGTGTGGAGGGAGATATCTCAAGCCTCTGTCCTCTCCCTGATGCAAGTCTTCAGTGACAGGGCCCCCATCCAGATGAGAGGAGACAGGTTGGGGAGGGAATCAGTAAAGGGGAATGACAACCAAACACAGGGACTTCAGGACAGCCCAAGAGGTTCAGGCAGAGGACTGAGGGTGCCCTGGCTTGAACAAAGCTCTCCCTCACCTGCTGGTGTGTGTCCCCTCCATGGAGGCCCTCAAAGGGCAGCCACTCTGACTTCAACATTGTCCCTGTGACAATGGCCTCCCAGCAGGAACCAAGCTCCCAACTCCTTGCCCAGCCTCAAGGGCCAATCATTCTCACGCTGCACAGGCAAAAGGGGGTCCAAGTACAAGATCAGCAGCCTTACAACCCACTTCTAGCTGGCTTGGGGTGTTGCAGCCGTCTGCACCTGCATGGGGACTGTATAGTGAGCCAGCAAGTGTTCGATGAGCCCGGGTCTGCCTGCAGAGATCCCAAAAAGGCAGATCCTGGGAACTTGCATTTTGTGACCTAGGAAAGTCCTGGGAGGGCTGTCCATGCCTCCCACACAGGGTCGCAGTTCGCATTCACTGAGTATCTGCCTTCTGTGCACTGTGCACCGTGTTCTCTGATGGCTGAGGCCACCAGGAGAGAGTGTTAGCAGCATGTTCCTTACACAAAGGAGGAAGCTGAGGCTCTGAGAGGGGATGTGACACACCCCAGAAGCAAATTAGCTGAGGGTCATTCTGACACAGAGCAGGGACTGTCCCCGCTCAGATCAGCACAGCAGCCCTTCCCCAGGTACCAACACCCTTGCTCTCCTTTGAGAACCTCCTAGCACCACTCTCCCCACTCCATGTGGGGATGCTATGGAAGCCTGGCCAATCAGATCACAGTTACTTCCTGACCAGCCCATGATGCCTTCCACTATTATTATTTATTTATTTTTCTTTCTGAGACAAGGTCTCATTAAATTGCTAAGCTGCCCAGGTTGGGCTCAGAATTGGAATCCTCCTGCCTCAGCCTCCCAGAGTGCTGGGATTATATGTACGCATCTCACTCAGCTCCAGATTTTTCAGTTACTGAACCAATGCACTGCCTCTTCTGCAAGACCTTTTTAAAACTGGTTTCTGCTCAAATTGCTATCTCCTTCAAGGCAGGAAGCCCCTAACCCCACCCAGTGAAAAGAAAGAGGAACAGTCTGAGTTGAGGTAAGAGAGACCAGAGTTTGAAAGTATTTCTTTCTATCTCTACTGTTAAGCCTCTTGCAGACTCTGTTCCTCCCTGTAGCATGACATCAGACAACCCCATTTGGAACTTTAAGGAAATTAATATTACCTAATGTGTGGCCTTCTTGTGAAGATAAAATCAGGTCATCAAGACACCTTTCCTGGCTGGGGCTTGGGGTGCAGCAGGGACTTGTCCACACACTTACTTGGGCGCCCTGGCATGCGGCCCATAACTTTGTTAGTGCACATGCCCTCTGTCTCAGCTCCTCCTAAAATAGGTGCCGCATCTTATCCTCACTCACTGAATACATCTGAGGTAGTTACAGTACCCAGATCTTTTAACAGGGCCATTCATGCCCCAATTCCAATTTAATACATTATCAAGATTTACAAATCTTTTTTTTTTTTTTTTAGTCTTTTTCCTTTTTATCGGTACCAGGGATCAAACTCACGACTGCCTGCTTGCAAGGCAGGCACTTATGCCGCTGAGCTAAATCCCCAGCCCATAACATTTACAAATCTTGCTATTACAAACTTCACAGGACAAATACAACTAACAAGGGGCAAACATGAGAAGAACAAAAAGAATGTAAGCTTGAGTCCACAAAATATTGAAGTTCTGAATAAAGAAGTGGGCACCAGCTGTGTGTGGTGGTATGTGCCTGTAATCTCAGTGTTTAGGAAATCCCAGCGCTCAGGAGGCTGAGGCAGGAAGATTGTGGTGAGTTTGAGGGCAGCCTTGGCTACATGGTGAGTTCAAGGTCAGTCTGAAATGCATAGCAAGACCCTGTCTCAAAAAAAAAAAAAAAAACCAACCAAAAGAAAAGAAATAAAGAAAGAGGCTCTAAATTAGGTTCTGAGCTTCCAGTAGGCAAAACAAAGCAAAACAAAAAAAAAGGAAATGGGATCCACCCATCAAACGCCTATCCATTTCAAAACATGTTACCAGGTATGGTGGCACACACCTGTAATCCCAGCTTTTGGAAGGCTGAAGCAGAAGGATTGCCTCAAGTTAGAGGCCAGCTTGTTCTACACAGCAAGACCATGTCTCAAAAAACCAAAAAATAAATAAAAACATGACTACAGCCAAGCTCTGGGAACTTTGAAGCAATAGTGTTTTTATACCCAAGATGTGTTTCCCAAGAGGCACTTCTAATGACAGGATCCTGCAAAAGCTACCCAGCACTTGACGTGACTGTTAGAGCATGGCAGTTGAAAGACCAGGGTCAGAGTCAGACTGCTGGGTCCACAGTTAGGACAAATTACATGACCTCTCCCAGCTTGTTTCCTCACCGTAAATCATGGGTAACATATACTACCTCCTCGGAAGGCTGCAGTGAGATGATATGGAGTATGGATTTAAAATGCTGAACATGGTGCCCTCCATAGAGTTAATATTTCAACAGATGTTACTTTGTGTTGCAGTGTGCAGTGTGCCTGAGGGTGTGCATGGTGCAGGTGGCTCTTGTTGGTTATTACAGATATTTGTAGCAAGGCATGGTAGTGCAGGCCTGTAATCCTGGCTAGGCAGGAGAACCTTCCTGAGTTCAAGACCAGCCTAAACTACACAGTGAGACCCTATCTCAAAGCAAACAAACAGAAACCAAATATTTGTATTATTATTACAAACATTATTTAATTCTTTCGCCAACTCCCAGGATGCTCTAATCTCCTACTACAGATGAAAAAACAGAAGGCTGATACATAAAGTCATTACCCAAAACCAGACTGTGAGTAGGTGGCAGAACCAGGATGGTAACACACAGGCATGCAACCAACCATTCTTGCCCCTGTCCTGCCACAGCTTTCAGATTCCTGTCTGAAAGAAATAGGCACTGACTATGGATGGTGACTTGACTGGTAGGAGGAGAGACAGGCACACAACCTGTCATGGTTTATGTCTAGATGTGCTTTCAAAGCTTCATGCAGTCATGGAAGCAGGCTTCTAGAATTCTGCTTGAAGTCCAATGCTGAGATTATAGATGTGAGTGCTACAGTCAAGGAAGTGTAGCTTACTTACAATATAAAGAGACAGAAAGAGTCCTCTTTGTGCTCCTCCCTTTTTCCTCTTGTTGCTTGTGCTATTTTCTGCCGCCATGAACTGTTGCCTCTGCTATGTGCCACTCTACCTTGGAGCCAGCTGATTATAGACTGAAACCTCCACAAACTGTGAGCTAAATAAACTTTTCCTTCTTTAACTTTGGGTGTGTGGTATTTTGACTCAACAATGAGAAAAAAGTGACCAACACACCTCCCAAAGCTCTGGGCTCTATCTCTGCCTTAAACCAAATGACACAGCCTGTCTTGTCTGCCCAGCTGCAGACAGAGCAGACCAGGACCCATGCCCCTGCACTCCCTCCTTGCTCTGTGGCTGGGGCCACAGCTGTGAGATGCTGGTGTGGCTGTCACAAGATGTTCCCTGGCCTGCCTAGACCTTTGGACAGCCTCTGAGTGAGCCAAATGTGGCCAGAACATGCCCTACCCATCTCAAGGAGCACCTGTCTAACTGTCACAGGGCAACTTGGGAAGCTGATTGGGCTCTGTTCTGAGTAACAAGGTCTTAGCCAGGTCTGAGTAACAAGGTCAGGTCCAGGGTCAGTTTCAGGGAGCATTAGGCAGAGAGGTGAGTTAAGAGTCCAAGATGACCAGAGTCCTAACATCTACCATACAACTTAGCTAGGGTCTTGGGGCAGGAAATGTCATCTTGCTGTACCTTGATGCTCTCTTCTGCATCATGGTGTAACAGCAGACTCCAACTCAGATTTGTTATGGTGCTTCATCAGATCATACATGAAAGCACTTAGTACAGGGCAAACTATAGAACTAGAGCTATGTGCATATGAGAACAATTTAGATAGACTTCATTCATTGCCATGTGTTTTAAATTTGTTTTAAATTGTCTGTCTTTGCTATGTGCACACTATGAGCTCAAAAATGATCAAGTTGATAGCTTCTCCCTATTTAGCTGTAAAATTGGGTGTCTCTCTCCTTCTCTGTCTCCCTCCTCTCCTCTCCTTCCCTCTCTCTTTCCTTTCCTCAGCAGGTACATCTCCCAAAATATGGAAATACTCCCTAGTCTCCATCCCAGAGTAGGCCTCAGAGGCAACCTGGAGAGCCTGGGCTAAGGATGATCTTTGGCATGAATGAATTTCCCAACTTTCCAGTTATCACTAGCTGCTGCAGTTTGGAAGATAGGATAGAGTTGCTTTACCAACCAGAAACAGCCTTCACTTGTGTCAGATTCACAGTGAAGGTATCTAGAAGGGGCCTCCTGAACACCTTTCCCTTTAAAGTGTTCTCTCCAGATAACTGTTCTATCAACAACTGGCAGCTTTTACAACTAAGTTACCACTACCTAATTAGCTCTCTGAAGTGGAGTCAAGTATTGGAGTAAGAAAGGGAGGCTCTTGGGATAGTCCCTGAGAAGCAAGATCTGCAGGGACTACAACTACCGACAGGCACAGCACGACACGATCAAGCACAGTACACTGGGAGTTGTAGTGCTCACTGGCTTGAGGCCCTCTGGGACTGGCCATGCTTGGCTGGAACCGATGTCCACCAAGCTCTGGTGTAGGCCGGCTCTGCCCATGGACCTATAGAGCATGTGCGCAAATAACAGCTATCCCTCCGGATGTCTCCAGTTATCACCGGAGTCTCCCAGTCGAAACTGAGGGAATCCAGATGTACACAGCCTGTTCTTTGTGTATCTTTCCTTTTAACGAGGCTGGAGAAACAGCACAAATTCTCCGGGAAGCGAAGATTCGGTGCATGGGCAACGAATTGTACTATTTAGCCTATTTCACTGCAAGGAAACGGAATTAGTCCTCATCCAAGGTCACTGGCAAGTGAAGAAGTAGGTGGTAGCTGTCACGTTAGGCCCTGGGCGCCTGCCCTTAGCCTAACGCCGAGTGGGCGTGGCCGGGTGACACACGCCCTCCACCTGCCACCCCCTGGACCCGCGCGCATGGTGCAGCCCAGGCAGTTCCATTCGCGCGGGAGCCGGGGTAAGAGGGCACAAGCTGCGCGGCCGGTTTGGGCCACCCCCTCGCGCGAGCGCGCGCCAGGGTGGTGAGGTCCGCGGACGATTCCACTGCGCGGGCCCGGAGGGGGACCCGCCGCTAGCGGCGTCCGGGCCGCAGCCCGACCGGGACACCGGGCTGCAGCGGGAGCGACGCGCCGCCGCCGGTGGGGGTGGAGCCCCGCCGCGGCTCCAGGTAACGCCGGGCCGTAACCCTGCGCCGAGCGCCCCAGGCGCTGGTCCAGCCGAGACGCAGCGGTAGGGGATGGCCTGTGGCCGGCAGAGCGCCGCAGGGGCTTCCAGAGAGGCCTCTGCGTGCGCCTGTCCGGCCCCAGCCCGCTGTTCAGGCTCAGGAGCCCGGGCTGCGCCACTCTCCCGCCTGTCCGCTAAGTCCAAAGGCCCCCAGTTCGGATGTCTGGGGAACTACATGTCCCAGCGAGCCTTGCGCCCGCGCATGCCTCGATCGTAGCCCCGGAGGTCCACCTTCAGTTGGGACCCAGTCGCTCCGGACCGAGAGCCGCAGGGGCTATGCAGTCCTTTGGACTCTTTATGTCGTTCTCAGACGTTTTACCTACACTCCCCGTGCCGGCTACTGGGGAGCCAGAACAGCCTGGGCTCTGCCCTGGAGCGTTGAAGGTCCGGGTAACAGAGTACTGCACTCTGGCGCAGTCCTCACTGTGTTGGGGAAGCGCGAAAGCCTTATGGTCCCGGGAGGGGCTAGGTCTTTCGAGGGTCACACAACTAAGGGCCGCTAAGCTGGAGTCAAGGTGTAGCTGGAGACCAAAGAGGAGAGGAGAGGGGACACTTAAGATGGAGGGAAAATGGAGAATTCAGTTGAAGTCTTATCCCCCCACCCCGCGTCCCCCTTCTTCCTCGGTCTGCCCAGCTCTGCACTTCAGCAGCCACTAAGTCTTAAATCTAGACAGTAGGATGATGGTTCCTGATCCTCCTGCAGACCCTCAAGGCCCTCGAGGTGGAAGTTTTAGGAATGGGGATGAATCAAGAGCCTCATTGCGCCACATAAAGCTCACACATCCGAATGCAGATCGGGGCCAGAAAGCTAGACAGTTAACACCCGAGATGCACACACTTGACAGCCCTTATCATCCCTCTGAAGGATGTACTTCCATCCCCATTTTACACTTGGACAAACATCTTCACAGAGATTTGTGACTTGTCAAGGTCACACAGCTCAAGGGGCAGAACAGGCTCTGCACATAACCATTAGTGATGTCTTATCCCCTTAGTAACACGTGGGAGATGAGCGACAGTGCTGAGTGTATCTTAGGTGTTTAGTAAACGCCATCTGTCATTAGAGTTGTTACTGTCCCGATTTTACAGACAAGAGACAAAGAGTGGTGAGAAGCAAATAAATTACCTAGGGTCTCAAAGCTGAAGCCAAGGTGTTGTACATGTGAGCCCCAGATCCCAACACCTCTGGCATCCCTGCCTCCCGGCCCATCTATCTGTGTAGTCAATTTTTACAAGAGTCAAAGCTTTTGTAAGGGGTTCAGATGCATTCAGTTCAGCTCTCAACAGTGATAACTAGGCCAGGGGTTTGTGAACCCTACCAGGTGTGTGAGGCCCTGGTATCTGGGAAGTCCAGTCTTGAGCTGGCCTTGCCAGCCATAAAGTGTGTCCTGAGGTGATACCTCAGTCTGTTACTTCCTGCTGACTCCATCCTATGAAGGTTACTGTGCCCTGCTTTAGAGGGAGGCTTAGGAGGCCATGGAAAGGAGGGTTAAGTACTTTCTGACCCTGAGGGAGGCAGCCTGCTGTCCAGATTTTTGGGTAGGTAGGAACCCTGACTGAGCAGGGCCCCAGCAGGAAATGATGACCACACCCTCCTCTTCCTGTCTTAGCCTGCCTAAGCCTGTCCCATCTGCTGAGGCTTTGAAGGGGGGAGCTGGAATGTAGTAGCATCAAGTGCCTTGATTTAGAAGGAACAGGATTTGAGTGTCTCTCTGGCTTTTGTCTCCTTGGTGTGATCTGGAGCGACCCTAATTTTCTGTGGACCTTTTGTGACACTGCAATCAGGCATACTACCTCTCGACTCAGTTTCCTCATCTGGAGAACAGGGAAGACACATCTAGCCATTGTGAGAAGATGATCAGGGTTGGACTCACCAGACCTGGCAGGATACCGTAGGTAGGACCTGCATCTTTCCACGGAACCTATAGCAGATGGAAGGCTGAGGCAGGCCACCCCCAACCTGTGGTTTCCTGAGCCCACTGGGCCACATTTCTCTGAGTTCTGTGGTGAGAAAAGTGACTTTCCATCTCTGAGTTACTTTCCTTTCTGTCAGATGACTATAAACAATATCTGACTTCAAGGGGGCAGGGTGCGATGAGCAGCACACAGGAGATGTGCAGGTCAAAGCAGAGGATTTTGATTTTGTTTTTTTCTTTTTGAGACAGGATCTGCCTGTGTTGCTCAGGCTGGCCTCTGCCTCAGCCTCCCAAATGCTAGAATAACAGGCATGCACCATCACATCGTGCTCTGACTTATACTGAAAAGTCAAGAAATGCAGTCAAATGTGCCCCTTCCTGCTGGCTGCAGGCTGTTTTCGAATATGTCTAGGAAGGTTTTTCAGGGTAAAGGCAGATGTGATAGTGACTTGTTCCCTTGGGATCTCCCCTGAGGAACTCTGGGGATTTATTAGGACTTTCTGGAGCCAGGTCCAGGTTTGTGGGAAGTAACAGAGGGGATCATGGAGAAGAGAAGACAGGGTAGGAATTTCCTGGCCAAGTAGGATTAGCTACAGAGCCCCTTCCTTAAGTACCTGTGGAGGACTATAAACCAGACCTTGGACAGGGTATTTGAGCCCATCCTGTAGCCTGGTGTACTGCCACACATAGACAGCCTTTATTGTCATGATGCAATGTGATGCTCTTTCTAGTGGGTCAAGGAAATCAAGAGCAAGCCAACACATTAGAGCAGGCTCAGAAGGGGCAGTCTTTGAGCTATCCCCCAAAGCTTGAGCAGGATTGTCAGAGATGAATACAGGATGTTGAGGACTTATTAAACAGAGAAAATACTTAGCCAGAGGCTTGGTGGCTGTAGGGTCACTTTTTTGTGGGAGTTGGGAGGGTTAGGATAGGGTCTTGGTATATAACCCAGACAGGCCTTAAACTTGCTTCTGTAGCCCAGACTTGAATTCACAGGGCTTCTCTTGCCTCAGCCTCCTGAATGCTGGGCCTATTGATGTAGGGTCACTTTTTGAGAGTGAATTGTAGATGAGGTATCTTCTGTGGCCTTCGCTAAATCATTTCACCTTGGTGAACCTCAAATCCACACCTATAAAATAATCCTTACTCCTATGATATAGAACTTCCAGCAAAGCAGGATGTTAGTGTGCTTAACAGGGCTGAATCTTCTCAACCAGGAGGAAGAGTATTGAGACATGCAGTATGGTGACAGGTTTATGTGCAAATTAAATGGTGTGATGTTGGGGTGAATGTAACCCTGCATGCTGAGATGGAGTTTAGTGCAAAGTGGAAACATCACAGCTTCCTGAAAGAGATGAGCTGGGAGCAAAGCCTCAAAAGGCAGACAAGAGGAATGAACTGGTAGGAAAGAAAAGAGAACCCAAGCCGGGGGTGGTGGCTCACGCCTGTAATCCCAGCACTCTGGAGGCTGAGATGGGAGGATCGTTGCCAGTCCGAGACTTTGTGGCCTGGGCTACAAAGTGAGCTCAAGGCCAGCCTGAACTGCATAGTGAGACCCCATCTCAAAAAAGAACAAAGAAAAGAAAAGAAAAGAGAACCCAGACAGGTGGTCCAGCCTGAACAGAGGCAGAAAAGTGGCAGGCAGGGAAGGCGGAGGAAGCACTCCATGGCATGGGAGAGGGACTGTGGAGAAGCAAGATGGAAACGTTTGGGAAAGAGAACTTGTTAAATATACCCTGAAGGTTGTTTTATATGCAGGTGGCATTAGGGAGCCACTGCAGACTCTACCCCTATAGAAGTAGGCACCTTTGATTGGGGGAATTTTTTTTTAACTGCTTTTATGTGGTGGGAAAAATAAAGGGTGAAGACAGACATAGGTGGTAAAGAGTTGATAATAAGGAATCAATTGAAGACACCATTACTAAGTGGGCTAGGGATGTAGTCCAGTGGTAGAGTACCTACTTATCATGCACATTGCCCTGGGTTGGATGCTTCATATGGAGAGAATATGAATCACTGTGTTCAGCACTACTTAAATCTCATGCACATGTCATTTTAACCGTTGGTGGATACAACATCTGGCATCCCAGGTAGCACCTGTGACAGTGCATCATAAACTTGACCTTGTGTGGTTTAAAGATTGTGAACAGCTTGCTGGGTTTCTGACTGCACATCCACGGTAATACTGATTGTGGTTGGTCTCACTGCTTTGCAGCAAGCATGGCTGTTCCCCAGACTGCCTTTTGGATCCTTTCCATTGAATATCTTTCCTGAAGGCAGAGTTCTGACTCTAAGGAAATAGAAGTTTGTCTGGCTTAAGAGACTTAAAACAACTCATGTAGTACTTTTTGCTAACCTTTTCAGTAGATCGTACTTTATAGAATTTTTTAAAAAGAGCAACTACAGTATCATATCAAGTAAATAGTCTGTTCTGACCCAGTTTTCCCTGAGGACAACTGTTAATCTGTTTCCTGTGTATCTTTTCAGAAATATTTTATGTAGAGGTGGTATGTATCCGATTAAAAAATTGATAATACTGTTACATCTTGTTCACTATCCTGATTTTAATTTTTTAAATTTGGGATTATAAAATATATCTGACATAAGGCAGGCATGGTGGCTCATGCCTGTAATCCCAGCGGGAGACTGAGGCAGGAGGATTATTTCGAGTTTGAGACCAGCCTGGGCTACAAAGTGAGCTCAAGGCCAGCCTGAACTGCATAGTGAAACCTTGTCTCAAAAAGACAAAAAGACAAAAAAAAAAAAAAAAAAAATATATATATATATATATCTGACATAGAAAGTCCCCACCCCAAAATGCAGATAAAACCAATTTGCACTGGCACCCTGTTTAGGGTTGTCTAGGAAGTAAGCCCCATGGCAGTACAGCTACAGGGCCTCTTAATGGTAGATGTCTCCAGCTTTAAGATTGAGTTAGTTACTGGTTTTGTGTTTATATAATTGATTGAATATAATACCCAGTTTTCTGCCTGGGGAGGCAACTAGGCAGAGGAAAATGAAGTTGGATCTTGACTTGGATTCAGATTTTTCCTCTGCCACACTTTGTAGCTATGTGATGACCTAGGATGGGAAGGCTTTCGGTTTTTTGTGATGCTGAGATTTGAACCCAGGGCCTGCTTTCCACTGAGCTACATCCCCTGCTGGAGTGAATGTTTTCTTGATTCTCAGTTCTCCCCATCTGTAATATGGTATGGCCACATGTACATGCATGCATGCATGCTGGGGATGAAACTAGGACTTCATACAGGCCTCTACCACTGAACTGCATCCCAGCCCTGCTGCCTGTTTTAATCTGTCTCACAGTAGTCTCCCAGCTACCAGGAGGCGTGGAAAACTAAAGTAGAGAAACTTCTTTGGGCTTAGTTCCCCAATTTCCTTGGATGGGGAGCTCCTCGCGGACACACAAACCTCCCGTGCCTCTGTAGTTTAGCTTTAAACTACACCCTGCTCCCCGCCCCTTTCCCCTGACCACGCTGGGGGCGGGGCGGTTAACTATGTCTGTGACGTCAGAGCTCGCAGGACCAATCCTCCTGCACGATATACGTTAGCTCGTTTGCATGAGTCGCTGGTCATTGGTTTTACAGGCAATCCTGGCGGTCCAAGGTTTTTAAAGGTGCCGCGTAGTATAAACAAGATGTGGGGAGGCTGAACCATGATGTCATCGCAGTGCAGCAGCTCTTGGGGTGACGTCATCGCCGGAAAGGTTTCTGGCTCAGAGATCTTTGGGCCAGCCTAAGCCCTCAGGCCGGTTTTAGAGGTTCCCCTTACCCGTGCTCTGTCGAAGGTCAGATCCAGTGCATTTCAGTGGCCCTGGAGGTACCCTGCCCCAAGGAGGGGACCATGACACAGTAAGTTTGGACTGCGGCTCTCCGGGAGGGACCCATTTCTCCCGCAGGGAAACTGAGTTACTGAGGGCGCAAGAAGTTAGCAAGTTTGTATAGCAGGTTCGAGTTGCAGCCCACCAGTTTGTCTGCCTTGGAGTATTTCCTTCATCATTATATCAGGTCCTATGACCCCGCCCCTTGCCTTTTACTGTGTCTGCTGTTACTTTAAGTGCAGAAGTGTGGGCGGATAGGAAGCTTATTTAAAAAAAAAAAATCTGTCTCTCAAGATGGCGGCACGTTGGTCACGTGTCCAGTAGCAGTGAGTGATTGGTTCTCGGTGAGGCTGCGGGGCGGAGCTCTTGGTGTGGGGCGGGGCTGCCGCGGGCTTTCCGCTGGCTACTGTTTGCCCGAGCCTCCCGGCGCGCCCCCGCGAGCCCCCCTCCCGCCCGGCGCGCGACCCCGGCGCTTCCAATGTTGTGAATCAAATGTGGGGTTTGTTACATTCCGCCGCCGCCACGGACAGTTCTTAAAGGGCCAGCCTCTGGCAGCCGCGCAAACCAGCTGCGTCCTGCGCTGCCTCGCGCTACCCTAAGGCCTGGGCCGAAGGAGACGGACCGCGCGTGGGCCTCGCGAGGCAGACGCCGTCGTCGGGCGGACAACAAAGGGAGAGGGCCCCGGAAGGAGCCGGACTGCCCCCGGACCTAGGGGTGGGGAGAGGAGCACATTGTTCCGCCGGGCGGGGACTCTTAAAGGGTCCAGGCAGGCTCCCCCGCCCCCCTACCCAGTTTAGCCGTCCTAGATCTTGAACAAAGGAATCAACGTGTGGCCGGGCGGCCGAAGGTGAGTCGGGGCCAGGGCCTAAAACTCTCGATTCCCGCACCCCTGAAACTCCAATCTCCCCCCTTGGGAATGGGGGCCCGTGATCCACTTGGGTCCTCAGGGGTTAATCTAGGGCGGTCTGGACTGGAGGCCCCTGGGATCTGGGACCCCCCCCCCTCGAGCACCCTCAAAGCTCAGCCGGGTCTCCCCTCTCCTGAGGCTGAGCGCTGCGGTTGAGAGGAAGGAGCCGCCCCCTCCCCCTGTGGCCGCCACTTCCTTTGTTGTTGCTTTTGTCTCACGCCGAGCACATGGTCCAGGATCCTCAGCTCTTAAAGTCACAGCGCTCTGGTCCCGGCGCTGCAGTTTGGCCTCCGCCCCCAGTGCCCCTCGGAGCGCGGCGCAAAGGAGTAGGAGGGGGATGGAAGAGGCCCTTCTGGGGACAGCAGTCCAAATCGCAGCTCCCTGGTCCCATTCCCATGGAAAGATAGCTGTGGAAGCTTCTTGGAGCCCCACAACCTGTTTCTGGCCTGCTTTGGGGAGGAGCCTGCCTTTCAGGGACACTGGTTACCGACTCCTCTAATGCGACCACTTGGTTTCTTGCTTCTCGTTTCTTGTGGATTTCGGGTGTTGTCTATGAAGGAGCGGTTTTCGTCCCCATTTTACAGTTGTAGCAACTGAGGCTTCTAGAAGTGTAGGAATTTCCTTGACCAAGGTCAAGGTGAGACAGAGCTAGCTGAGGGCTCCTTGCTCTGCAGTGTGGTGGTCCCGCCCTCTACCGCCTCCAGGCACCACGCCAGGGAGGGCCTAGGGAGAAGAGAGAGTTTCTTTACCTGCCTGAATGTACTTGTGCTTCAAGGGTCTGATTTTGCTTATCTGCTAAAGGAAGTGCTTCCCACAAACCGAGCTGGGTCCCAAATGACAGGGCAGGGCTCCCCAGTTAGGATCAGAGTGGCTGTTTGGGGCTCTGGACTCAGGAAGTTGGCTGGCAGGGGTGTGGGTAGACGTAGGGATTTGCTGCAAAGTGAGGTGCCTGCCTCCAGGCAAGCTTGGACTTGAAGATGGGACTCTCGAGACCAATTCACAACAAACCTCTTTGTATGGCACAGCCAGAGAAGTGTGGAAAGGCCGACTGAGCAGTTTGGTGTTTGACCTTGAGCAAGTTGGTAGCTCCAATTCAGCTTCAAGTCTCTAGCAGAGCTACTCACAGGTGCATGAAAGAGAATGTTCTCCCGCCCTCCCTTATGGCTGGGAATAGAGTTGGAATAAAGTGGGTTTTCCTTAGGCTGCAGCTGCCATTGAGAGAGTTTGGGAGAGTCAGGGCCTAGGGAGCTGCCCAAGACTAATTCTGTTCCTCTCTGGCTTTGTGGTATAGGGTGAATTTCTTCTCATCTGAGCCTCGGTTTGGTTGACTGTGAAAGTGGATATGTTTCCCTCTTTACAATTTTGTCTAATAGGACTTTTTTTGCCCCCATCGGACTTTCTTTCTTTATTTGTCCCCGATAGGACTGACTCTTTCCTTCTTTCTTTGTCTTTTTGAGACAAGGTCTCCCTGTGAAGTTCTAACTGGCCTTGAACTCACTTTGTAGCCCAGACTGGTTTCGAACTTGCAGCGATCCTTCTGCCTTAGCCTCCCAAGTGCTGGGATTATAGGCATGCACCACCATGCTGGACTCCTGATAGTACTTTAAAGAACCGAGAGCCTTCTTTCCAACTGGGACACTACCATCGACAGTGGGGATTGAGAATGGAGATCTGCATGTTTTATATTCTAATTATGATCATTCACACCCAGCAAAGTTTTAAACTTTACAGATTGCTTCTGCTGTTGCCGTGGAAGCATTTCTTGACAGTGCCCCAGAAGATAGTTACTGGATTGTTCCCATTTTACAGATAAGGAAGCTGAGGCTCAGAAAAAGGAAGCCATTTGCCCAGTATTCATTCACAATTCTAGTCAGATGTTGGGGGTGACAGTATGGAACCGTGAGGGTTGTTATATCTCTTTTGGCACCAGTGGCAACAACTGGAGGCACTTCTCTCTGCTGGCCTGATTTCTCAGCTCTATCCAGTTTTCCTTCCAAGTGGATGCCTGGCCAGATTTCCACAGGCCTGGGTCTCCATAGGATCTGTCCTCTTGAGTGTTGGCACTACCCAGCCTCAGAAGGCTGCCTAGGAGAAAAGGAGCAGCAGTTGGGGTCAGTGGGCACCACTAACAAACTGGGTGACTGATTACAGGTGCTTAATGGTCACACGAGGTTGTGTCCCAGCATGCATGCAGCTCCGGCTCTCCTCTGAACCTGGAGGTCCTGACCGCTAAGGTTGTTATGAGGCACACTGGAAATAGCATAGCTCTTACTGTTACTGTTCCTCACTGGCAGAACTGTAAACCAGCTGTGCCCAGAAACTGCTGGAGAATTTGATGACAAAAAAAATCAAGGTGCTCTTGTTCCCCAACTCTCCAAAGATTCCAACTTAGAAGGTGGAGAGTGGGCTAGGAGGAGTCTGTTGTTTCAGTTATTTTTTCCACGTTTTTCTTCCTCACAACAGCCCAGGGTTTGTTGTAATCTCCCAGTTTGTAATCATTGGCACTGATGTCATTCCTGCTAAGCCTTGTGGCCCTGGACACATATCCCACTGGGCCTTCCCCATGCTAGGCAAAAGGTGGTCACTGACCCCTACTCACCACCTATACCAAGGTGCTTAGAGTCCTTGAGCCAGCAGAAAAAGTGTGAATTCTAGCACATTCATTCCCCAGCTCTGTGGCCTTGGCTAGGTGCTGACCTGTAAAGCACGGCCAATCTTGTGGAAGGCTGGTTTTGAGAACCAGGGGCCAGGGTTGAGAGCTCAGCACAGAAGGAGTAACTTGTGCTGAGGGTCACACTGGCTCCCTGGCTGTGTGACAGGGAGGCAACAGTGTTTCAAGCTGAGTATGGAGGATGCATAGATTTGTTCCTGGTGAAGGGGGGCTCCCATAGCAGGAACAACAAAAAAGCTGTCCCTGTTTGATGTACTCAACTTTGCAGTGAGGGCCCGACAGGTTCCAGAGCTTTCCCTGCCATGATCTCAGCCCAGCTTCTGGAATTAAGGCAATCTGGTATTGAGCCGAGCTCCCAGTTCAGTTTCCCCCACCTGGAGCTCTGCCCTGACCCAAGAGAGGAGACTCTGGCCCCACCTGTTCCTATTCAACTTCCTGTCTGAGGTTCTTGCTTCCCTTTTTTTTTTCCTCTCAGCAGGCCCCACCTTCCACACTGAGGGCTGTGTTGGGGCCCCTAGAGCAAGGACCTGGCTACATTCTAGACCCAGCAAGCTACTGCTGGTGGGCCAGCTCCCTGTATCACCTCCTAGGAAGCCTGGGGGGAGGGGGAAGGCTGGCCCCCTGGCAGCAGCAGGATGCAAGAACAGGCTTGTAATTGGTTTATCTCCTAGGTTTTACACTTAGTGTGCGCCCAAGGGCCAGTCCCTTCCTCTTGCGGAACCTCAGTTCTTCTCCCCTGTAAAATGGGCTGGCTGTATGTACTTTCATTGAAGAGTAGATGAACGTCACACTTGGAGATACACTGTGGTAGTGGCTGAGAAAAGGAAGAAGGCTGCTTAGCCTTGAATTGAAAACCCCTCAAGGGCCAGGAACCAGGTCAGACCTCTAGTAGTAGTGGGAGGAGAACTGTGTCCTAAGCCTCTTTGGAATTTCTCCTGAGTCAGCCCAGATGGAAGGGAGGAGGCTGGGGTCCCTGACCCCCAAGCATGATCTTATAGCTTCCTAGAGGTCAACTTGTAGCCCTTGGCCTGAGACAGAAGGTCCTTACTCTCTCTGTCATCCCAAGGCAAGAGACCCTGCAGCAGCTGGCCCAGAAACGTGCTGGCCAGGCCTTTAAACTTGTTGCATCTCTACGCTGAGGGGAAATGATCCCATTTCACAGGGCACAAAACTGAGGTCTGGGTTCCTTACAGGTTGTCTGCCCCTTGTCTGTCAGCACTGCACCCCAGAGCCCAGAGGATGGCCCGTTCCAGAGTACACAGAGCCCAGACTTCAGAAGAATGCTGTTGGCTTTTGTAGTCTCACTGCAGGAGACAGCTCCTAAGGGGGCAAGTGACTGAACTTCTCTGTGCCTCAGTTTCTTCTTCTTATCTCCTAGGGTTGTGAGCCCCGGCCCAGCCCCTCCACCTCCCTGCCCCCCTGATGCGACCATGGGCTCTGGCAGTGACTAGGTGGCCACCCTCTGCCCCTGTGGGTCAACGTCAGTTCTCTGCAGGACCCAGAAGTGCTCCAGGCCAGCTCTGGGGAAGGTAGGAACAAGTCTCCCAGCCTTGGGCCTGGGCTGTCTTCTCACTCAGTGGGGTGGCACCCTGGCTTCCCTCCAGGCTCTGTGAGTGAATGGCCCCATCAGTCCTACCAGGGCCTCCTCTCTGTGGTACAGCCCCGGCCACCAGGGCCCCCTGGCCAGCCCACCTGCCCAGGATGAGCACTTACCCTCCCAGCAGCCGCTGCCCCGACCTCCACACCTCCCCGTAGAGGAGCACCGAGCCTCGGCTCCTGCCGGCGGGAGCCCCCGAATGCTGCACCCGGCCACCCAGCAGAGCCCGTTCATGGTTGACCTCCACGAGCAGGTATGCAGAACACCTCCCCACTCCCTGCTGTCCCCAGCCTCTGATAAGGCGACCTGAGGAGCAAAGGCCCCAAAGACATGATTCCACCTTGCTTAACTTATGCATTCAAGGGTAGCATTATTGGCCCTGTTTTACAAGTAGGTAAACTGAGGCCCAGGGAAGGGGAAGAATTTCCCCCAGGCCACACAGTGAATAACTAGCAGAGCTGGACACCACTCCTGGATTCCTAAAAGAATTTTCCCCTGGGTTGTCTTTGCCAGGAGCAATCTGGTCTACACCTAGGTAGGTCCCCAGCTGGAGAAAGGGACAGAACAGGGTGCAGAGCCTGCCAGGACAGTTTCTCCTTAGGGTGATACAGGTCGCCAGGCTACCTCCCCTGTTCTCTATTCACAGGTGCACCAGGGACCTGTCCCTCTGTCTTACACAGTCACAACAGTGACCACCCAAGGCTTCCCCTTGCCTACAGGCCAACACATCCCCGGCTGCAGCGCCCAGCAGCTCCCAGCATGCTCCGTGATGTTCAGTGGGCAGCACTACCCACTGTGCTGCCTCCCACCCCCGGTGAGTAGGTGCTTTCTCCTATGCTGGACCCAGTGCAAGCCCCAAGAACTGGGCACCCCAGAATTGAGTAAGCAGAGCTCACCCAGGCTGTCAGTGTGTCTGAGCCCTAGGCCACAGCCTTCCCAGAAACACACATATATCTTCTCCCACAGGGACGGAACATTTCAGGGTTCAGGTACCTCCTGTACCCTAGTGCCTGCCTTATACATTAGCATGTGCTCTTTGGAGTAGGACCAATGGGCTTTGAGAACAGTGTGCTACCTAGGTGGCCTGGGGCAGAGAAGGGACCTCCAGAACTGCTGCGGCTACTGAGTTTGTGTGGACATACGGCCAGACCTACGGCCCCCAGTCCTTGTCACAAGCACAGGCCCAGCCCAGAGCCCAGAATATTCTCCAACGCTCCTCTCTCAGCAGCTGATCCAGGCGTGCACCATGCAGCAGCTCCCCGTGCCCTACCAGACCTACCCCCACCTCATCTCCAGTGACCACTACATCTTGCACCCTCCACCCCCGGCGCCCCCACCGCAGCCTGCCCACATGGCACCTCTTGGGCAGTTCGTCTCTCTGCAGACCCAGCACCCACGCATGGTAGGTCTGGGGCATGGGTCTAATACTAGTGGAGAAAGGTAGGGATTTCCCTTGTTACTGACTACGGCTGTCAACCTTGTCCTGTCCAGCCCCTGCAGCGGCTCGATAATGATGTGGACCTGCGTGGGGAGCAGCACCCCTTGGGTGGCTTCAGTTATTCCACCTCTGGCCCTGGCCCAGCTTTGTCCCCCTCAGTGCCTCTGCACTACCTGCCCCATGATCCGCTGCACCAGGAGCTGTCATTTGGTGTGGTGAGTGCCTCCCCCGCCTCCTGCCCAAGTTCTGGGGTAATAGGAGGCAGGCCCTCCGGCTGACCCGCACCCGGCCTCCTGTCACAGCCGTATTCCCACATGATGCCGCGAAGACTGAGCACCCAGAGATACCGCCTGCAGCAGCCACTGCCCCCACCACCCCCGCCACCACCGCCACCACCTTATTACCCCAGCTTCCTGCCCTACTTCCTGTAAGTACTAGCACGTCTGCCTCAGAGCAGAGACAGCCTGTTCTCCCTGGGTCTCCCAGTGGTCAGACATAAATACAGTCCCAGAGGCTGTGGGACCCCAGGGGTTTTTAAGGCCACCTGGGACTCCCACTAAGCCAGACACTCACACATACAAGTTGGGTTCCTGACCCCTCCTACCAGTCCTGGGGCAAACACTAGGGTTCCTAGTGTAAACTGCAGTGCTCTGGATTTTATTTTTTGTGGAGGAGTTAGGGGAGCTGTTCCACACCCCTGCCTCTAACTGCCCTTGACCCTGGACCCCTGTACCTGTCCTCTCTAGCTCCATGCTGCCAATGTCACCAACAGCGATGGGGCCCACCATCAGCCTGGATCTGGATGTGGATGACGTGGAGATGGAGAATTATGAGGTGCCGTGGCATCCCTTGCTGGGAGGCGGGTCTGGGAGACTGCAGCCTGCGTGCTGTTGACCTTCCATTGTGTCCATCTCCAGGCCCTCCTGAACCTGGCTGAGCGGCTGGGAGACGCCAAGCCTCGAGGCCTCACCAAAGCAGACATCGAGCAGCTCCCGTCTTACCGTTTTAATGCGGACAGCCATCAGTCGGAGCAGACACTGTGAGTGTCTCGCCCTCGTCTGCTGCCCCCAAACTACAGGGCTATTAGGAGGTCCCCTCGGGGAGCTTCACCTGGACTGGGGCCTCCCTCAGCTGTGCGTGTGGGGTGATACTCTCCTACCCTCTCCAGGTGTGTGGTCTGCTTCAGTGATTTCGAGGCACGGCAGCTGCTCCGAGTCCTCCCCTGTAACCACGAGTTCCACGCCAAGTGTGTCGACAAGTGGTTGAAGGTAAGGCAGTCCAGGCTGGCTCCACAATGTCCTCCCATGGGAGCGGGTAGAGTGGCCCTGGAAGGTTTCCTCCTGGTCACTGTTGCCATCCAGAAGTTCTGGCTCCATGGAGCCAGGTCTCCACCAGGCAGATGAACAGAAAGAACCGGGTGAGATGAGGGTTCATGAGAGGAAAGCCTGACTTCTGGCTCCTCCCCTTAGGCCAACCGGACGTGTCCCATTTGCCGGGCTGATGCTTCTGAGGTGCCCAGAGAGGCTGAGTGAAGCCCCACAGCTGCCCAGGAGAACCCTGCCCGAAGCTCTGGAAACTTGAGGGACCCAGGGAGGGAACGGCCCAGGCTCAGTTCCCACCTGCATCTCCAGAGCTGGAGCCAGGGTCAGCCCTGCGAGAAGCCCCTGCAATAAGCCCCTGCATTTGCCAAGCTCCAAAGACTCCTTTCCTCATCTGCCTGCCTGTCTGCCACCGCGGAGCTGCCTGGGTGTCCCCAACTCAGCCTCCCTCCTGTTTGCCCATGGGTTCTTTGTTTTCCTGCTTGGCACTGGGAGCCAGAGGATTGTTCCCCATGGTGGCTGGTAGCAGTCCTTGGCCCCATGATGGATAAGGGTTTGCCACCCTGGGTCAGCTGGGCTTTTGCACTGAATTAGTGTGCCCTCTGTCTGCCCAGGTGAAACTTCCAGGTGTGTGGACAGACAGTGGCATGAGGCCATTTCCTAAGCCCCAGGGCTGAGTGCTTGACCTCAGAAGCGTCAGGCTGCCAGCCCCCGCCTGAGACTGTAGGGTGTCCTGGCGGGGCCTCTTGAGCAAGTGGACACTGGCCCCAGGCTGGGGCAGTGTATGCTGAAGGGGTCCAGGCCGTGTTGGCAGAGCGAGACCCTGTGTTCTGGTGGCTGCCCCTTCACCAGTGACAGGGTCAGACCCATGTCCGCTCTTCTCCCCTCTGTCATTTTGCATGAATGTGAGGAGCAGCAGCTTTTGTTTATTCATTTGGCCCAAAATTGCGTGTAGGATTGGGGGGGTGTGGATATTTATGACAGTTTTTTTCCTTCGATTTAGTGGGGGGTACAGGGATCAACCAGGACTGAACGCCCAGGGGGCAGAGAAGGGTCAAGTAGGGCCACCTGGCCTGCATGCGTGTGTGCGGCTGGGGCTGGGCTGGGCTGGGCAGCCAGCGGTCGGAGGGCAGGGTTGGGGGATTCTGTGCTCAGCTGATAACTGCCATGCACTGTACTGCACACGTCCCTAGAGCCTACTGGGACCGTCCGCTTTTCAGGGCATTTCTCCCTCTCCAGCCCAGGTCTGCCTCCCACCTGCCTGGGTTAGTCTCCTCCAAGGAATCCCCGGAGGACAGGGACTAGGGAGTGTGAGGACCATCAATCCTGGAGGTTCCTCCCAGCCTGATCCTTGTCCTTCAAGGTCTGGAGGGGGGACCCCTTAGGGTCTGGCTGAGCTCCCCACCCTCCTTCCCTGATCCCATTCCTTCCCTGCCCCCAGCTGGGGTTGCTGCCCTGAATGAACGAACCGCGTGTGGGGCCGGCACATCCTAGCAGGCAGCCCTCGGCGCCTGCTGCCTCAGGGATGCTCCAACCACCCTCGTTCTCCCCGCAGCGGCCCTGGCCCCTGCCTCCCGCCCCAGCCTGCCATGGGACCCCTCAGCCTGGTCCCACCCCCATGGAGAACCCAAAGTCTTAACTGTATATAATTCCAGGTGACGTTTCTATATTTATAGCAGTGTTGAAAAACCCACGTGTTTTACAGAGAACCACTCCTACCCCCCTCCCTTCCCCACCCCAACAAAAGGTTTTCAGAAACCCTTACAGTTCCTGGGGCAGGCGGAAACAGGTTCACGGATTGTGTGTCGTCTGCAGCAATTCCAGCAAGCAGCTACTGGGGGGAAAACAACATTTTAAAAAATCATCATTTAAAAAAAAAAGATTTATGAGACAATTATTTAGGATGTTTGTGATTTGCTGACCTTGCTATAGATGCCATGTTACCAATGATTTCCTGTGGTGGGGGCTTGTCATTGTTTACTCTTTTATTTACCAACTTCTGGCCTAGGCATGACAGTGGGCACCTTCCCCCAGCCCCGGCTGGGCCCAGCGCCTGTGTTCTGTGTTAGAAAGTTTTTATATATGTATAATTACATATATATATATAAATATATGTAATTGTGGGGGCCCTGTTCCTTGCACATTTTACAGTTACCTCATTTTTCCCATGTATGTATTTGAGAAAATGCTAATATATAGAGAAAAAAATGGTTCTTAAAGCTTAAATGTGTGGTTTTTTCCATTCCATTGGATTCACATTGGTTTGTAGCATTTAACATAACTAGTATGTTGTATTATATATATGTGTATACTGATTGAAATTTTTAACAGATTTGTACTTTTTTTAAAATGAAAGTTGCTAGTTCTGCTTGACCAAGTAGTGCAATCATTATTTTTTTTAATATTGTTGCTGATTTCAGAGGGATATTCACTAATAAATGTATGATGTATACCAAGGACTGCGTGAGCTGCCTTTGGCTGCCTGTATTCTTCCAGGGGGAAGAAGGGGTGGGGAGTGATAGCAAGCTGAGGGCAGGGGTGGAGTGGAGGACTAGGGATAGGCAGCCGGCACCAGCCACCCCACCCCCATCAAGCGCTTCCAAGCCAGTTAAATGATTACTTTTCCTGGGCCATCTGCCTCACTTGCGAATTAGGCAGGCTTCTGTTGGCTAGAAACAGGATTCCAACTTACTGTTTTGAAGCGAAAAAACCCCACTGGTCCTGACACTTAAATTCTGAGGTACTGTGCTGAGGGTTAATTCAGCAGCAGAGCTTTTGCCAAGCATAAGCCAGGCTCTAGGTTTGAGTCTCCAACACTACAAAATATATATCGAAGAAGGTTCTGGTATGACTATGAGGGAGCTCAAGCTTGTCATAAGGAAATAAGGTCTTTTACAAATTCAGCATTGTCACCAGGGAAAAAATATATTCCCAGGAATTGTGACATTTCTGGGATCATATTAGACCAATTTTGCCAACCAATTGTGTGCCGAAGCTTGAGGCATTTGCTGTACCAAGGAGCTACAGCAGTGGGCTGGGCCTGTGTCTCCCAGCACCCACCCACGAGCTACTGATTGGTGCTGCTCATGCCCAGCCTTTAGCTGAGGTCGAGGAGACCCAAGAGGCCCCCTGGGTTGTAGCTTCCTTCCTTTTCTCCAGGAGGATGTTGGGCTGACTTAACATGCCAAGGTAGTATGGAGGTGCCCTGTGAGGGGAGGTGGAGGCTGGTCCCTGTGGTTCTACAAACAGCCGTCTCTGGTCTCCAGATTGATCATCTGCAGCAAAGCGGTTCTCTTAAGTGTTTTGGGAAAAGTCCAGTGGGAACACAACACCTTGGGTTTTTGTTACTCGTTTTTTGTTTTTTTGAGACAGTGTCATGCAGTTTGGGCTGGCCTTGAACTCACTGTGTAGCCCAAGCTGGCTGCAAACTCATGGCAATCCTGCCTCAGCCCCTTGTGTGCTTGGATTACAGATGTGTGCCACCATACCCAGCAATGGTTTGCTTTAAAAAAAAGGGAGGAAGGTAGGTCTGTGGAGTGGGATAAATGTGATCAATTGCATGTTGAAAGCAACAGGAGCTGGGTGTGCCGGCACATGCCTGTAATCCCAGCACTCAGGAGGCTGAGACAGGAAGATGTCCATGAGTTCAAGGCCAACATGGACTACAAAATGAGATCCCCACCTCAAAAAAATCAACAGGAGCCTTAAATTACTCTTCTCTGGGATTCAGCTATACTGATGGCCATTGTAATTCCTAGAGTTCACATTTCTAACCAGGCCATATGTACCAATCTAAGCATGCACAAGATTTAGGCTGAGGCAGGAAGAGTTCCTTGAGTTTGAGTCCAGTCTGGGCTATAGTATGAGACTCTGTTTGGAAAAAAAAAAAGGTTAATATTTACATTTGTTGTTTGTTTTTAGGCTGGCCTCAAACTCAAGGTTATCCTCCTGCCTCAGCTTCCTGAATGCTGGAATTACAAGTGTTCCACCACACCCAGTTTTACATTTGTTGTTTGTTTTGGCCACCAGGGTTTCAGTTATATTCCCTGGAGCGGAGCGGACTGGGACAAGGTGTTAGGTCATTGGTAGCAACTCAATCCTCAGGGCCCAAAAAGTCTGAAAAAAATTGTAGGGTGAAATGTGTCAATTCTTTTCAGAATTTCAGAAAAACTAAAAAAAAAAACAGGGGAGGATTGCTGTGAATTGGAGGCTAGCCTGGGCTACATAGTGAGACTCTGTCTCAAAACAAAGAAAGAAAATCAGATGATCCGTTGATTTAAAAAGAAAAATGATAGCCAGGTACGGTGACCCACAGCTACAAGCTTCATGGCCAGCCTGGGCTACATACTAGTGGGTTCAAGGCCAGGTGAACTATAAATAGCAAGGCCCTGTCTCCAAAACAAAAGAGACAAAATTCACTTTCATCCGTAATTGTAAAAAAGCCAGTTAGAGGATTTTTTTCAACTTGATAACATCATAATGGCGAGGGGCTAGATGCTTCAGGACAAGGAAAGGAAGTCACTGTCACCACTACCGTTCAATGTCAGTTCAATTATGGAAGGCAAGGAACTGCAGTCTGGTGTACAGACTGGAAAGGAAGAAGTGAAACCTCTACTTTGCGGCTGACATAATGAAAATCTGTGTAGAAAGTCCCAAGAATTTATATTTTAAAAACTCCCGAAACAATGATTCGGGAGATTGAAGGATGCTCGGACATAAAGCTTGTAAGCCACTGTGGTAACACACGCCTGAAATCCTAGGGTTCTGGCAGGTTGAGGTAGAAAAAATTTAAAGGCCGAGGATGTAGCTCAATGAGATGGTTCTTGGTACCATTCCCAGTAGTGCCAAAATAAAACAATAAAATGTAAAGATTCATGGGCCAGGGATTTAGCTCAGTGGGGCAAGTGTGGGTTCTGAGTTTGATTCCTGGTATCCCTGCTAAAAACTTTGTGTGAGTTGGGTACAGTGATTCACATCTGTAGTCTCAGCTACTTGGGAGGCTGAGACAGTAGGATCACTGAGCCTAGAAGTTCACAACTGGCCTGGGAAACATAGTGGGACACTATTTTAGAAAGAAAAAAAAAGTTTTCTATTGACTAGCAAAGAACATTTGGAGAATGAATTTAAAGACACAATGATAACCTGTAATCCTAGCACTCGGGAGGCTGAGGCAGGAGAATCACCATGAGTTGAGGCCAGCCTGGGCTACATAGTGAGACCCTGTCTCAAAAACAAAACACAAAAACCACAATGATATCTTTATTTCTTTTCCCCTCTTTTGTGGTGCTGGGGATTGAAGTCAGAGTCTTTTCACTGAGCTCCAACCCCAGCCCTTTTTTGTTTGTTTTGAGACAGAGTCTCATTACATAGTTCAGAGTGACCTTGAGCTCACTCTGCAGCCCAGGCTGGCCTCAGACTCACAGTGATCCTCCTCCCCTCCTTCCTAGTACTGGGACAATAGGAGTGCGTGAGGAACCGTTGGGCTAAAACCAGCCCAACCAGTCTTTTTCATTTTGAGACATTCTCATCAAGCCTAGCCTCAAATTTGTGATCTTCCTGCCTCAGTCCCCAGAGTTCTGGAATTACAAGTGTGTGCCACCACACTTTGGTGTTCTGTGTGTGTGTGTGTGTGTGTGTGTGTGTGTGTGTGTGTGTGTATAAGAGGTGGAGGGTCTTATAGCACTCCAGGATGGTCTTGAACTCCCAAGCTCAAACAATCTTGCCCATCTTCCTGAATTGCTGGGACTATAGGTGCATGTTATGAGCCTCGCTTTTGTTGTCTTGAGAATCCCTTATATACCTAAGACACAAGTCCTTTGTCAGATACCTGGTTTTCAAATTTAAAGTTTTTAATTTTGATGAAGTCCAATTATTGATTTTTTTCTTTATGGATTGTTTTTGGTGTCACATCTAAGAATTCTTTATTTAGCCTGAGGTTCTGAAGGTTTTCACCTGTTTTCTTCTAAAAGTTTGAGTTTTATGTTTTGATTTCATACTAGAAATCAAAACTCAGGACCCCACTCACCAGACAGGTGCTACAACCACTGAGTGAAATCCCCAGTCCTATATTTTAACTCTAAGATCTGTTTTGTGTTAATTTTGCATAAGTCATGGAGCGTACTTATTTAAAAACACACACACACACACACACACAACTATCCATCAGATGTTTAAAAGCAGTTTCCTTGCCAGGATGAGTTCTTGGTGTTGTGCTGTTGATCTGTACGTCAGTCCCTCTGACTGCCCCTCACAGTTTTAAAGTCATGAACTGTAATTCTTTCTATATTATTAGCATTTTACAAAATTGTTTTGGGTTCACTGGCTCCTTTGCCTTTGCATGCACATTTTTATTTTTTAGACAGGATCTCCATATGTATTTCTGGCTGGACCTGGACTCACTGTATAGCCCAGGCTGGCCTAGAATTCATAGTGGTCCTCCTGCCCTTGCCACCTGAGTGCTGGGATTACAGGCTTGTGCCACACCTGTTGGGCTACATAGTGAGATGCTGTCTCATTTAAAAAAAAAAGAAAGAAAGAAAGAGAGAAAGAAAGAAAGAAAAAAAATGAGGAGGAGGGAGGGGGAGGAGGGAGAGAAAGAAGAAGAGGAGGCAGAAGAGGAAGAGGAGGAAAGAAAAGACAAAAAAGACCCAACAGGACAACTCAGATCAAAGTCTATTTGTTATCTTTGGGTTGAGGTAGTGGCCTGACGGTATGGCGGGAGGTCAGGTGTGTGAGGTCCGTGGTTCCTCCTTTCCACCAGAAGCTCCCTTGCTGGCAGTTGCAGCACTGGCTGGCCCACGTCCACGCTGTGTGGAGGAAGGAAGGGGGAGGAGTAAAGTGCATCTGTAAGACAGCCGACAAAGTTGACAACATCTTTCCAAGGGGTAGAGCCCCACCAGTTGTCCTCAGAGGAAGGAGGCTGGATCCAGGACTCTGTGTTTTTTCCTTTTGGCCTCACTGTGCTTTGAGTTCCTAGATACTCTTTTTGGGGGTTGCCATTGGTGCTACAAGACTAGTGGGATGCTTTGCATGTGATTTGTGCCGAATAAAGTCATTCAACACAATGCCCTGTTTTAGGGATTGAAAGCACCTCAGAGAAAGAGAGGTTCCTGCCTCCAGAAGCCAGTCTTCCAGAGGAGTAGGTGATGTATTATACAAGTAAACAATTATTTCCACAATTCCTTCCAAAACAAGGACCATGAAGGGTAAGTCAAGAGCAGGCCATGCTCCGCAGCTCTGATGGGTCAGCACAAATCCCTGGTCTTGGGGCTGTTTCTTCCCAAATAAAGGCCGTGATTGGAGAAATATCCTCAGAACAAGACACACTGCTGCTCAGTACCCAACGTCATGGCAGGTCTGTAGGGTGATTGATGAAGTCCAGCTCAGCTACCTGTTAGCCATATCTGCCTGGTGTATATACGTTTATTTCAGCATAAACTTTTTTGGGGCAGGGCAT